TCTCCATGCTGCTCTGAAATCCTGCTTAGAAAACTATTAGGAAATGGCTGCAGTCCTGAGCTGTGAGCGGTAAACACAGCCTTTGAGAGCAGGAGCACATTTCCCTTTCATGACTTCAGGTAGGGTTGTATGACTCCCGACTAGTTTTAGCATCTGAGCCTTACCTTTCCCCCTACTGTATTGAAGAATGTTGGTGATCTCTTAAGAGGTACTTTGTATAGTTTGTCACTCACACCTATAAGAAAACTTTAGTTTTGTTGTTGTGTTGTTACCTTCAGCTACTTTTTCGTTGGTTATTTCGTTGTCTGGTTTCAAAATTCTCATGTCCTGGTGAAACTCTGTCAGGCAATAAATAATTGGTACTGTTAAATTTCATAATGGAAAAAAATTGGAACTCAAAAGTATTAGGAGTTTGGTATTGATTATAAAGAACAAAGAAAGAGGCAATGAATTCTCAAGAGACACTAAACCTGTCATGGGATGGACTTCTTGCCATGTTGAAAAGGCCTGGTCTCTGGAAGATGGACTTAAAACCAGCTTCTCAAGGTGGTTTATTTACCACACATACTTCAGTGCTCTTTTCCGATTTCATGTCACTTATCAAGCTTTATGATTTGGGGATCCTAGTGATCATGCAGAAGGGACCGTAGGCAGTGCTGGCTCTCAACAGGGCAGTTAACATAGCTGAAGGATGTGGGCTTTCTTATGTTCTCCATGCCTAGGACTTCCTCCATCAGGCAGCTGGCAGGACCTGAAGGATCACATGCGAGAAGCTGGGGATGTCTGTTATGCCGATGTGCAGAAGGATGGAGTGGGGATGGTTGAATATCTCAGAAAAGAAGACATGGAATATGCCCTGCGTAAACTGGATGACACCAAATTCCGCTCTCATGAGGTAAGTCCTTGCCTTCTGTTGAGCTTGTACTCAAATCATTCCACTCACCTGACCTAGCAGAGGTAGCAATAGGCCATGCCAGTTGGTGACCTGACAGTACCATGAAAGATCTTAAGTGGACAAAGCCATGGAATTTGCTGTGCCTAAGTCCTTCAGGGTTATAGTTGACAGAAGTGTTCATTCATGTTATGTTTTTTTTTAAATATGCTTTATTCTGTCTATTGGTATCACATGACACAGTTTGGTCATGGTATTTGTAACTTGGAGAGAATACTAGTGCAATCGTCTTCATGTGGAGAGTCATTTTGTGATATCACCCCATTCCCAACCAGCTTAAACAGCAGTATCCCTCTGTGAACCCAGCTGCCCCTCCTGTGGGTCTAGGCTGGGCTCTACAGACCAGTCTCCTCATCTCAGCCCTTCTAGGTCCCGCTGTCAGGGCTGAGCTGTCACTTCACTTTTCCTTTCCCAGAGTAGTACAGGATCCTCTCTGAAACCTGAGCTATCATGACATTTTCTTTTTTAATTTTGTAATTTTTATATTTCTCTAGTTTTTGATTTTAGAGACAGAGTCTCATTATGTTGATTGCCTGCGGTGACCCTGAACTCCTGGGCCCAAGCAGTCTTCCCACCTCAGCCTCTCCAGTACTTGGGACTGCAGGCATGCACCACTGTGCCAGGCTCAACCATGACATTTTCTTGTTGTTGATTACCTCACCCTTGAGACTCAGTGGTTCTTGATGTCCTTCCTTGTAGGAAAGCAGCTGCTGTTTTGGATCTCAGTTTGATTCAAGTGGTGACTATCCCTTTGGTACCACTGAGACCAGATACCAGACTACCAATTGGACATTGTTGTTTGTTGTTGTTGTTATCCTGTCCTGCCTTGCTGTGGGATTTATGGATGTCTGGGGACATTGACCTCTGGGCTCATTTCTTTTTCTGAGGATTCATATAATTCCATAGTTTTTGGCTTAGAGGTTGGTCCTTGGATGGTTTAATGATGCTTTTGCTCAGACTGTCCTCTAGGACTTGAATTTGGAGCAGGAACAGAACAGCCCCTGATCCTCAGTTATACTGCAAAGCAGGACCTCAGAAAGGGTAACTCCAATTACTGACTTTCACCTAAGGTGAAAAAGCATCTAGCTTCTTTCCTCTTGAGATCTTTGGATCTTCTGACGATGGTGGCTGAAGGCAGAGGGCTTGGAGACAAGCCAGCCTGGACATGACTTCTCTGCTACTTATTAATTCCTTACCTGAACTGAACTACTCTTGGAACCTCGATTCCTTCATGGGCAAAATGGTCACATAAAAGCACCATCATAAGACTTGCCAGGAAGCTAGAAGATGATGATAACATCTAGAGCATCTAGCTGAGATCCTAACACCTGGAAGGTATTTAATTACAGGTAGCTCCTTCCACAGATGCCCATCTGGAGATGCATATATGAAGTGGCAGAGAATTAAACTATATGACCCGAGATCCTTTCCAGTTCTTAGCTTGGGGGTGGGGGCTGGGGGTCAATGGCAGTAATTCAGATACATTGTTTATAATAGCTAATTGAGTATTAACATGTCAGGTTGGCATTTATTATTTGTGTTACCTTGGGCAAATGATGTAACTGAAGTCTTAATTTTCTTCATTCTTGAAATGGGATAGTAAGAGTACCTACCTCCTAATGTTATGAGGGTTTGATGAGATAGCCTCATGCCAGGCACAGAGTATACAGTAAGTGGTTAATACTTAACTGTTAGATGTTCGTTTGCTTATTCTTTTGGCTCTGATTTTTTTCCCTTTACTCTGTTTTTGTTCACATTTCAGGGTGAAACTTCCTACATCCGAGTTTATCCTGAGAGAAGCACCAGCTATGGCTACTCACGGTCTCGGTCTGGGTCAAGGGGCCGTGACTCTCCATACCAAAGCAGGGGTTCCCCACACTACTTCTCTCCTTTCAGGCCCTACTGAGACAGGTGATGGGAATTTTTTCTTTATTTTTTAGGTTAACTGAGCTGCTTTGTGCTCAGAATCTACATTCCAGATTGATCATTTAGTGTCTTAGGAAATTTTTTTAAATTTTTTTTTAAAAGAAAAAAAACTACATAATTTCTACCAGAGCCATATTAGCAGTGAAACATTTTAAACTGCAGAAATAGTGGTTTTGGTTCAGAAGCAAGTTGTATATTTTTCACCCGATTATGGGAAAAAAAATCAGTTTTGTCCTTGTGGGTTACTCTGCTATGGAGATCAGCAGTTACTGTTACTGAGTTGGCCCATTCTGTTTAGAAATATATTTTAAACGTTTAGTAATTGACATGTGTGGTTGTCCTTGATTAAGTTTATAGATTTCAACAAATAGGCACACCCATTTTAAAAATCATTGAGTTGACCGGGCGCGGTGGCTCACGCTTGTAATCCCAGCACTTTGGGAGGCCGAGGTGGGTGGATCACAAGGTCAGGAGTTCGAGACCAGCCTGGCCAACATGGTGAAACCCCATCTCTATTATTACAAAAAAAAATTTTTTTTTAAATCATTGAGTTGTAGTCATAACTCGTACTCAGTTAGTAAGGAGATAACTTTATTTATATGGGGATAGATAGTTGCTTTGGTGTTGGTTTGAGAACTTCAACTCCAAAAGCAGGTTCTCTTTTAATTCAAGGCTAAGCTTGTAAATTAAACTGCCTTAAAGAAGAAAGCAGCATTGCAGAAAAAGGAAGGGAATGGGAAAAAATAAACACATGGTGGCTAATGCCTGTGATCCCAGCACTTTGGAAGGCCAAGGCATGCTGGAGGATCCCTTGAGGCCAGGAGTTCAAGATAACATAGGCAACATAGCAAAACCCCTTATCTACTTAAAAGAATTAACTGGACATGGTGATGCACATCTGTAGTCCCAGCTACTTAGGAGGCCTGAGGTAGGAAAATCACTTGAGCCCAGGAGTTGGAGGCTACAGCGATCTATGATCACGACACTGCACTCCAGCCTGGGTATCAGAGCAAGACCCTATCTCAGAAAAATTAAAAAAATGAGCAGCAGTGCAAATATCATTGGGAATTTCTTAGCCAAAACCAACTTTGGCAGTTTGGTTAGAGGAAAAAGTCTCTCTCTGATTCTATCACTTTTATCCCTAAATAGGTTTTATTAATCCTTAGTATCTGTGTTTTAAAACAAAAAAACCCATAATCTTGGACTCATCTCAATTTAATAATCATTTTGGGGGTGCTTTGTCCCAGGGCTAATTTTAGGACAAGTTCTCTTTTCAGAAAGAGAAACACTAGGTATGACTAGTGTCCCTTTTGCATATAATCACTTTGTGGGATAGCAGATAGCTCTAGGTCAGGAGTTCCCAAGCTCTAGTCTACTTTGAACACTCTTCAGACCTTAGCAGGAAGTTAGCCCTTTTCTAGGAACAAAGTGGGTGCCCAGGAACAAATTCAGGTATGTTTGGTCAAGATAGGCCTGCTCAAATCAATGCAAGTGGCAACTAAAAGGGACAGCCAAGATTGTCACATAGTGATCAAGATGCTCCATCTACCAGTTAAATAGATAGAAAAGTTCACTTTCATGCAGTTGGTTCAGTCTTCTGGGGTTAAAGGCAGATAAATAGTGTCTGTCTTACGTGTCTGTCTTACTGAACAGGCCTGTTTAGTGAATACCTTGGAAGCTGACTTTTTGCTTTCCTTTCATTTCAGTTAGCATCAGGAACTCACTGTTACAGATCTTTGGGCTCTAGAACTCATTGAGCTAGATCTTTCCCAATTCTGTCTTCAGAAGAGCCTGTTATTAAGAAACGCTTAAGCGTCCATTTTTTTTTTTTTTTTTAGACGGAGTTTCGCTCTTGTTACCCAGGCTGGAGTGCAATGGCGCGATCTCGGCTCACCGCAGCCTCCGCCTCCTGGGTTCAGGCAATTCTCCTGCCTCAGCCTCCTGAGTAGCTGGGATTACAGGCACGTGCCACCATGCCCAGCTAATTTTTTGTATTTTTAGTAGAGACGGGGTTTCACCATGTTGACCAGGATGGTCTCGATCTCTTGACCTCGTGATCCACCCGCCTCGGCCTCCCAAGGTGCTGGGATTACAGGCTTGAGCCACCGCGCCCGGCCCCTTAAGCATCCATTTTTTTAGGTGACTTAGAAAAGCAGGAACATTAGTGTTCACAGTAAGAAAATACTGTCATTGTGCTTCCACGTGTTCAGAGTACCCCCTTTCCAGAAGGAGTTACTCAGCTGTGTGGGAATGGCTCTTGTTCATCCAGCTTTGGCAAAGGGATGTTACCTGTTTGAAAACAACAAAAAAGAATGTTATAGCTGAGCCTGCCGCCCAGCTGGCTTTACTGAGCTAACCAGTCACTTAGTTTCTCATGGAAACTAGGGAAGTAAGTGCAGCTACTATCCCGTTTTCCTAACTGGGGGTATCTGGAGGAATCAGTTCTAAGTGAAGCCAAATTAATGCACATTTTTCAGGAAGGAGTAGACAGGTTGACTAGCCACTAATATGCAGATAGGAGTAGAAGGAAAGACTATGATCATGAACTCAGGTGGTCCCAAGAAGCAAAATGCGAAGTAAAGTTCTGTGTAGGCGATATCACGTATGATCAATAGATACACCTGCTAAAGCCACAACTATGAGGCTCTGAGATTGAGAGTCTCCTTTCTCTCCACAGTTAGATGGTTTAGTGGATTGGAGGCATGAATAAGAGTTTGGCTCACAAGTTTTCTAGCTTTCTTTCCCATCCTTGCTTTAACCAGAGCCTGATTTTAACTGGCACCTTGAGCTGACCAAGGCCAGTGTCCTCTGTGGAGTCTGCTCAGAATGATTCTCTCTCAGGGGATGTCCTGAAGTGTAAGTTGGCACTTAGCAGTCTACCTGACTGCTTTTGGTTAGTCCCACTCCTAAATGCCCAGAGAGGTAGTACACAGCTCTGATACTCACCTACCCTCAGAGGAGATAAAAAGTCAACCTATCCAAGGTTCTGGATTTTACTCTCAGCCCAGAGTAATTTAAAGCTTCTATTTAAAATATTTGCAGTGAGGTAGATGATGCAAATCTCTACACCAGCAGTTGCAAACTGGTGGCTCACAGATTGCACCTGTCTTGCAGGTGTGTTTTATTTGGCTTGGATAGTATTTTATTTTTTAAATTTTGAATTGGTTGCCAGCACTTAAAATTTCAGAAATATCACACAAAATGCCAGGTATCCGGGTTCTCTGGAGAAATGAGCTTACATTCCTGCCTGGCACCACTGAAATGGTAGCAGTCACACTCCTCCTGCTTTGAGTGGGCACAGACTGAGGGCAGACCCTAATGACGTTTGAGTGATGTCAAAAAGGGGCAAAGATGTGACTTTTTTTTTTTTTTTTAAGACGGGGTTTCACCATGTTGGTCAGGCTGGTCTTGAACTTCCGACCTCAGGTGACGCGACTGCCTTGGCCTCCAAAGTGCTTGGATTACAGATGTGAGCCACCACGCCCGGCAAGATGTGATAACATCTGCGCTAAGGCTGCATGTGATAACTAACTTGTCACAATAAGATTCCTTTAGGAAAGGACTGGTTCTTTTTTGTGGCACCCAGCCCAAAGCTAGACATAACAAATATTTATTCATGGTATGAATACTAGAAAGTTGGAGTCAATTACAGGATCTGGCATGGTCTTAACTGTGGCTTTGAGAAACAGTGAATGCCAGCTGCCCCTTTAGGGAGATCTTGAGCTCCAGATTTCCACCTACTCTAAACCCCACCCCACCCCCCACATCCTCTTTTGCACATTCCTGTTACTAACTGTCTCCTAGAGGTGAGTATGACCCTGGCCTGGACTCTACTGCCACCTTAATGCCACCATCTATATGTACTTTATCCTTTTCAAAGTGCCTTCACATAGCATCTTTGGTCCTCACAATTCGTGCTTCATTCCTTTTTTTT